TTAAAACAATTAAAGACCTGAAATATTTCAGTTGGTGTGCAATGAATCTGAAATATATGAAAGTTTCATTTTTATCATTACATTATGGAAAATAATGACCTTTATCACAATATGCTAATTTTTTGAGAAGGACCTGTACATGGAGACAAACGAGAATCCAAACTCACTTGGTCAAGCCGTGAATGCATCCTGCAAGATCTTTGGTCATCACACCCCCTTCCACAGTTTCCACACAGACTTTTTCTAAAGTCTGACAAAACCTGAAGAGCAATAAAGCAGTTTGACAGAAACAACAAGAACTTGATTTTATACAAGTGTGTCTTTAAAAAATACAAACAAACAAAAAAAAAAAAAACCTACTTTATTAGTTCAGAGTTTCCATCCAGTTTTCCTCGGTGCTCCAGTCCCCTCGTCCATGCAAAGATACTTGCAATGGGGTTGGTGCTGGTTGGTTTGCCCTACAAAGAAACAACAACGCAGACTTTGCGGTTCAAGCTCACAGAAGAACTGTTCAGTGAAAAAGTCCAGCCAGTCGGTCACGGTCCAGAACAAGTAACACAAACATTTTATTTTGCCCTCATCAGTGACCATGTCTTACTATTTGATGTTCGCGGTAGTGCCTGGTGACGGTGCCATGAGCGGCCTCTGCCTCGATCGTCTTACCGTCTGGACACACCAGCACCGACGTCATGAGACCCAGAGATCCGAAACCTGAACACGAAACAAAATGTGGCATTAGAAAGTAATACAGTAATACCAGAATTTCCGGACTATAAGCCGCTACTTTTTTCACAAGCTTTGAACCCCGCAGCTTAAACAGTGCTGCGGCTAATTTATGGATTTATTTATTTATTTATTTATTTATTTGACGGGCTAGCCAGCTTCATATTGCCAGAACATTTAGTCTCACCACACCCGGGCACTCGCATTGCTGCCCAGTACATTTCTATCTTGGGGTGGGGGGTCCTTGTGACTCAATGAGATTACGTGTATAAATGAAAGGTTAAAAATATACATAAAAATCTGACCAAAGAAATTACCGAACATGTCACCTTCCTGTTCTCTCCGCTCTTCCCCGTTGTGCCCATTTTATTTATTTAGTGGGCACGTCTTATATTCGGGTGCACTCAATAGTCCGGAAATTACAGTATATGATTAGGTGTGTCACAAAAACAAATTTTGCTTGACGATTAATTGTATCAGAAATTATTGCAATAAACGATAATATTGTTTGAAATTTAACGATAATTAATTATCAAATTTTAGAAGAAATGCTGATTTGTTTGGAGTGTAGTACCTTTTTTTACCACCTGATGGCAGTACAAGACTGAACTAACTGATGGATAGTTGAACAGCGTGTCTTCAAGAAAAATGGGAGGGAGGGCCCTTGACGTGACATGAGCTGACATGATGAACGTTCAGTGATTTGAGCTCTTTAGCATAGCATTTTTCACACAAAGCTTTTAATAAAAATTCAGTAAACAAGTTCTCAGCTTCTTTTTGCAAAGCAAAATAACTTTTTACACAAAGGCACGGGGTTTCAACCGTGAATTTGAGAGCTCGATAAGACGGAGGTTTATTCCGGAGGTCGGCCTGTTAGCTTAGCTCGTAGCTTAGCTTCTCAGCTTAGCTGCTTTTAACGCACCAAAAACACGATTTGGGATCGTTAAAAACAGATTTTAAAGAGAAAGAGAGGGGTCAGTGAAGAGCACCGGAGTTGAGTTTTTTGTCATCCATTGTCTTTAGTAGAAAGGGAGACATGAAGAAAATGATAAAGCCGGTAAATGAAAATGAGGTAGATAATTTTCATTCATCATGTGATTAATTGATATATTGTTTATCGAGACAGGGCTATATAGGATGTCAGTAACTAGCTGTAATACACTACCCTGAGCCAGAATATCTGATTGCACATCTCCATCGTAGTTTTTACAGGCCCAAACAAATCCTCCGGAGGACTTGAGGACCTGGGCCACCATGTCGTCAATGAGTCGGTGCTCGTACCAGATCTTCAGCTTGTCAAACTCAGGCTTGTAGGTCCTGAAGGAAAATAAATAATTGCAACACAGGCAGGTAAAATCAGATGACTGGAACTTTTTAGATGATCTCGAAGCAAAACTTTGAGATGTGCCAGCGCAAAATAAAAGTTCTCCTTGATGCGGCGCTCGGCGCACCGAGTCGACGTGCTTCTTACGTCTCAAAGATTTCCTGGAAGATGTCTTTGAATCGGCCATCGTAGGCCTTCAGGATGGTGTTCTTGGTGCTCATGTACAGAGGCCACTTCTTCTGGATGGCATACTGGAAGCAGCTGTGAGCGAAGCCACTGATGGACTGCACAAAGATAGTCAGAGAGCGAACACATAAAGACATTTTTTTAAGCAGATTTGATCATTTTGGTCTCCATTTAAATATCTAACCTCATCGGTGTTGTACATTCCCATCCCACAGCCCCCAGCGGTGAAGTTGTACACCTCCCACTCCTGCAGCTTGCTCCCATCACTCGGGGAAAAAACTAGCTTAAACTTGCCGGGCTTGTCGACAACAAAGTCTGTGGCTCTGTACTATTAAAATTTAAACATTAGTATAAAAAGATGCTCATCTTTTAAATTAGAAAAATAACAGCCATCTGTATAAATACCTGATCACCAAAAGCATGTCTGCCAATCGTTATGGGTTTTGTCCAACCGGGAACGAGACGGGGAATGTTCTTACAAAGGATTGGCTCTCGAAAAACTGTGCCGCCCAGGATGTTCCTGATGGTTCCGTTGGGACTTTTCCACATCTTCTTTAGTTTAAACTCTAAAATAAGAAAAGGCGTATGCTATTTTGACGATGTAACCACGGCGTGCAAGAGTCAAGTGACCAAATAAAACCTCAAAATGCAAATGATTTGTACATGTTGGTCAAAGACTACCATAGATTAAATGTTCTTCGGTTAAAGGCTTGAACTGGTACAAAGATGGACCAGAACAGATGGAAATGTCGGACTTGCCTTCAACTCTGGCTTCATCAGGGGTGATCGTGGCACACTTCACAGCCACATTATATTTCTTGGTTGCCAGAGCGGAGTCAACGGTGACCTGGTCGTCGGTTTGGTCTCTGTAGGGCAGGCCCAAGTCGAAATACTTCAGCTCTACGTCCAAGTTTGGCAAGATGAGCTGAGGAAGGTGACGACGGGTTATTTGTGTCAAAGAAACACTGCAGAGCAACCTCACGCTTGCTCACAGGATAAACCAAAAAACAGCTACTTTCCCCTCCGTCTACCTTTTCTTTGATGAACTCCCAAATAATACGAGTCATTTCATCTCCGTCCATCTCCACCACCGGCTTGTCCACCTTGATGCGCCTTGTTGAGTCTGCAAAAAAATAATGCAAATGAATGAGTGCTGAAAGTTGGCGCTTAGTAAAAGTTGTCACTTGTTTTAAAAAAAAAAAAAAATTGGAAACAATTTTAATTTCTTTATTTAGCATTACAGCTGTTAGCACTCTGTGTCCAAAGATTTCTAATGTTTTTTTTAATGCCAGCATCCCTGTCACAGAGGATATAGATTTCTATATTTCATAAACCTCTTTTATAAAGACTCAAACAGCCACTAGGGAGCACAAGCCAGTGTTTCTCTTGTGCTGGGTAAATAATGAGGGTTGTGTTAGCTAGGAAGGGCATCCGAAGTTTTGCCAAAGCTATAACGTGTGTTCATCAAAGCGAAACTATACCGGATCGGTCGAGGCCCAGGTAAACAACGACCACCACCGGTGCTGTTGACAAACAGGGTGCCGGCGGAAACTGTGCTCCTCTTAGTCGAAGACCACGAGGAGGGAAATGTGTCAGGAGACAGAGGGAGAAGAGGAAATTCAAGAATGTAGGACTGAGGGTTGCAACTCTAAATGTGGGGACAAAGTCAGGCAATGGTAGAGAGCTGGCTGACATGATGCAGAGAAGGAAGGTAGATGTTTTATGTGTCCAATAGACAAAGTGGAAGAGCAGCAAGGCTTGCCGCATTGGAGCAGAGTTCAAACGGTTTTACCATGGTGTGGATAGAAAGAGAAATGGAGTAGGGGTGGTCCTGAAGGGGGAGTTGGCAAATAATGTAGTAGAGGTGAAAGGAGTGTCAGATAGGGTGATGTGTCTGAAGGTGGAAGTAGAAGGTCTGATGATAAATGTCAGTGGTTATGCTCCACAGGCTGGATGTGATGTGGAGGAGAAAGATAGATTTTTGAAGAATCTGGATGAATTGATAGGAGTATTTTTTCCAGGAGGAAATAGTGGTGATCAGAGAAGACCTGAATGGACATGTTGGTGAAGGAAACGGAGGGGATGAGGAAGTTATGGGTACGTTTGGTGTCCAGGAAAGAAACCAGAAAGGACAGATGGTGGATTTTGCGAAGAGAATGGAAATAGCTGTAATCAAGACTTATTTCCAAAAGAGGGAGGAACATAGAGCGGCCTATAAGAGTGGAGGAAGGAGTACGCAGGCGGACTACATTTTAGAAGAGGAAACCGAGGGAAACTGGAAGGTTGTGGCCTCTTATAAAGAGTGTTTCTGCCAAACACCGTGGCCTTGGGATTATATGAGGTCTCTGATAACAGTTATTACCTGGTTGAACCTGGATACCTGTGGACTCAGACCCAACAGGATGCACATGTTAAGGTGTGTTAACTGCTTGTTCCTAAAGCAGCGAGGAAACATAATAAAGTGATAAACGGAACCGCTTTGGATCTGGCTGGATGTGTGAGTGATTCATCAATGGCTTCATGCCAAACAGTCACTTCCTATAATGGTTTTGTAAATTTACCTATTTTGTACATTTATCGACACGTGTGACCTCGTTCTTCCCGCGAGTCACGCGCATTTTGAGTCACGCTGTTGTGATTTTGAGTGAAAACAAACAAAAAGAAAGTTGAACTTACAGTTTCTCTTTTGTGCGGGTCTGTGCTGGTAAAGGACTGGTGAAACCACGGCGGGGTTCGGGAACACCCCAGTCCAGGCTGAGCTCCTCCACACGGTCGTTAGAGCCTTCAGGTGACGCGCCATGTCTCCACAGGACTTCACGGTCACTAACGTGGCAGCTGGACCCGGAGCCTCTTAAATTATGAATGAAGAGCGACGCTGCAGAGCCCGGTGACACCTGCTGACGCAAGGAGAGCTGCACTGTACGGCAGGCCGTTGTGACATATAATCAAATCTATCAGTTTCTAATTCCGCCCTGTTAAAGACATTTTTACTCAACCAAATCAAAGTCATTTAAAGTAATTTACCTACTATTAGAAATTATATTTTAGGTTTTATTCAGCTTTTTTTTAATTTAAAAGTACATAATAATGTTATAAAACTTTACAAGAAACAATATATATTATTCTCATATTAGTGGTCAATGTGTCCTTAAATTAAAAAGTGGTATGGGAAATTGTTGAACTGTTTCCAAATACAATGTGCAGTTGTTTAGCTATGTTTCCTATTAATTCAGCCAAATGCTTTGTTTACGTTGAATACGTACCCGCAAATTGCATATCGGCATACTGCATCTGGAAAACCACTTTTTTCAAACCTCATTGTTTGATATACAAAGTACAACGCCTGCTTTATTATAATATAAATATTATAGAATCACTATGCTTTGAGGAGGGCAGCACCGTGGCGCAACTGGTAGAGCTGCTGCCTCTCAGCGAGCAGGTCCTTGGTTCAAATCTCAGTCCGGCGACCCCCGTGACCCAAAATGGAAGAAGCGGGTAAAAGAAAATGGATGAATGGATGCACTTTGAGGAGGTTCTTTCAAAAAATCCTACCCTTCTACCCTGAAGCTGTTAGACTCATAAATCCATAACCCTAACCAGGAAAATCAAGGAGAAAAAAAAATCACTGTATGCCACTTTAATTGGTGATATGTGACTTGTCTGTGCTGCTGATTATCCATACTGATGATCTCTTGCCTTTAAGCTGCTGTATTCATACATATCTGCTCACAACAGACTCATGTTCAGGCTGCTGTTTAATATACCATATTATTTTACATTATTAGTGTTTAGCGTATAGACCAGGGGTGCCCAAAGTGGGGCCCATGTTTGATTTGGCCCACCAGGAGCTGTCCTCATTACTATATTAAAGTCTCGTAAGCCAAAGCACTGTATTTTTATTCCACCATTGGAATGAATCAACACTGCTGGTGTTGGTCCTCTATGCTTTCTGAGGTCCAAGGTCAATGCAGTCGTCTACCAGGAAGTTTTTAGAGCACTTCATGCTTCCTGCTGCTGACCAACTTTATGGAGATGCAGATTAAATTTTTCAACAGGACTTTACAGCTGCACACAGTGCCAAATACCAGTTCCTGGTTTAAGGACCATGGTATCCCTGTTCTTAACTGGCCAGCAAACTCACCTGACCTTAACCCCATAGAAAATCTATGGGTTATTGTCAAGAGGAAGATGAGATACACCAGACCCAACAATTCAGAAGAGCTGAAGGTCACTATCAGAGCAACCTGGATCTCATAACACCTGATCAGTACCACAGACTGATCGACTCCATAACACACCGCATTGCTGCAGTAATCCAGGCAAAAGGAGCCCCAACTAAGTACTGAGTGCTGTACATGCTCATACTTTTTATGTTCATACTTTTCAATTGGCCAACATTTCTAAAAATATATTTTTTAATTGGTCTTAAGTAATATTCAAATTTTCTGAGATACTGAATTAGGGGTTTTCATTAGTTGTCAGTTAAAATCATCAACATCAAAAGAAATAAAAATTTGAAATATATATCAGTCTGTGTGTAATGAATGAATATAATATACAAGTTTAACTTTTTGAATGGAATTACTGAAATAAATCAACTTTTTCATGATATTCTAATTTTATGACCAGCACCTGTACATTTACATACTGAAATGCCAAAATTTATATATTTGTTTTAATTACCTATATATTACTTATTGCTATATTTTGTGTTCTGTAACGTTCTTTATACAGAAAGTAAGGTTAAATAACTATAAAAATAAAATTACTTTACTTAAAGAAATACTTGCATTTCATGTATTATATTATCGCATTTGGCCCGCGGCCCTCTGATAGATTTTCGTTTTGGCCCTCTCAGGGAAAAAGTTTGAGCAACCCTGGTATAGACCTTTGTATACTGTTTCTTTTTATGCTTTATATTTTTGCTGTTTTTTGATGTAACTGGGACCTTGAGTACACAGTTTCGTTCCACCTCATGTACCACATGTGATGTGAATGACGATAAAGAACCTTGAACCTTGAATTAAACTCTGTATTTAAAAAAAAATCACAGACATCACATAAAACTATATATATATATTTTTTCAATATTACAACCTTCTGGCATTAAGAACCAATTAAAGAATTGTTGTTGTCAGATATGCCTTATTTTTTTTATCAAGCAGAAGAAAAAAACACGGAATCACAAAACAATATGCATCCCTATAACAAAAACCTGCAGCAGATTAAATCTGCTAATCTGTCTTCTGTTAAAAAAGGAGTGCTCACAGCTTGGAGAGCTGTAGCATAATGCAGATTATCATGAATCATGACTCCAACACCAGAGATGTCAGTGGAAACACGAGAGAGGATCACGACGCTCCTTCAAATCATGAAGCGTTGCAAAAGATGTCCTAAACTCAGGACCGAGTCCAAATACAGTGGCTGTGTGAGAGGAACATATAGGTAGACCAAGGAAGCATGAAGAGAGAAAACTTCAAGCAAAATGTCTTGAAAACAGGAAATAAACAACAAAATGAATGAGAAACAAGTGGGTGGAAACTGGAGTTGATGTCTGTGGCTGAACTATAAGAAATCGACTAAAACAAATGAAAGCTCGAGCAGAACTTTATGAAGACGGCTGCCTGAGGAAATGTCCAGTCATAGATGATTTGGGCCTACATGTCACATAAAGGCACAGGCTTAACAGCAGACATTACATCTTCAATGAACGCCAAGGTCTGTCATTTTAGACACTTTTCTGATTCCACCATTTGAAAGGATGCTTGGTGGTGATGACTTCATTTTTAAAGATGATAAAGCATGTCACCAGAGAGCAAAGAGCATGAAACATTTCCTTAAAGAGAGACAGATGTCAACGGCACATAATTAGTCCAAAATATAATCCATCTGAAAATCTCTGCTGAAAATGGAAGAAAATGTTCCTTGACGAGGCTGAACCCATCAACATCTGTTTCAATGTTGACGTGCTCATGCGTGCTCATCTGCTCATGCAGACTCATGTTCATGTTTGTGCTGATGTTCGACGTGATGTTTTTATGCTATTAGTGCTTAGTGTATATTTAGTTGATGTTTTTCTTAGTTCATATCTTAGATGTTATCATTGTTTTTCTTTTACATTTTATTGTTGGATGTAACTGGGACCCTGTGTACATAATGTCGCTCCACCACATGTACCACATGAGGTGCGAATGACAATAAAGAATCTCTGACTCTGACTCCATGCAGAGCTTATCTGGCAACATCAGCGAGAGACAGAAAGACTGAGAAAACAGTTTGTTATTAGTAAGGTCCATGTTTTAAAGAATTCAAGTTGTTAGAAAAGCCAGAGATCGTGCACCAAAGAGCTTGTGTTGCAGTCTTTTTCTCATGATTCCATATTTTTTACCTCTACTTGACCAAAATAAAAAAACAACTGTGACAAAAAGATATTTATTTATTTAAATTCCATATTTGAGTGGCACGGTGGCTCTGTTGGTAGAGCTGCTGTCTCTCAGCAAAAAGGTTGCTAATCCAAATCCTGGTCTGGAGACCTTTCTGGGTGGAGTTTGCATGTACTCTCCGTGCATGCGTGGGTTTTCTCCAGGTACTCCAGTTTTCTCCCACAGACCAAAAACATGCATGTTAGGCTGATTGGTAACTCTAAATTGTCCCTAGGTGTGAGTGAGAGAGTGAATGTTTGTCTCGTTCGTCTCTATGTGTCCCTGTGATGGACTTGCGATCTGTCCAGGGTGTCCCACACCTCTCCTACAGTGACTGCTGGATATAGGCACCGCACCAGTGACTTAGTATCTCAGTGAAAGATAATGGATGGATGGAATATTGAAAGAAGACAGCTGTGTGGCATGTCTGATCTATTTTATTACACAGACCTAGTGATGTGAAAGAACATCCTCTAAGCAGGGCCGGCCCAAGGCATAAGCAAACTGAGCGGCTGCTTGGGGCCCCAGGGCCACTAGGGGGCCCCCTAAGTGGAAGCACATATTTTAGGGAGTTTGTGAAGTATTGAGGAAGAAGTAACATAAACAGGTTAAATGTGTGGGTAATGGTTGTTTAATATTTTAAGTTCAGCGTTTGCAAATTGTTGCATATTTTTACACAGTTTTAAGAACTAATTATTTAACTTTAAATTTAGTTTATAAGTAATTGTTCATTTACATTATTTAAGTATTTCATTGATATTTTATTTTGTCTGTTTTGGCACAATTTAAGTTATTTTTATGCATCCAAGTTATTTTATCTGTTGTTTGTTGTTGACCTTGCACTACAAATCATTTTGAATATTACTGTTTTTTTTGGTTATTTTTAGTACCACACATATAGGATAATGTAAACAGGGCTGTCAGAGTTGCAATGAATTTATGTTAGATGAGTGAATGATCTGATCATCTGACTCTTGATTGCAGTAATCCACATTATTAGCAGAAATAAAGGGCCCCAAACCAAATATCACTTGGGGCCCCATGGAGGCTTGGGCCAGCAAAGAGTGGTGATCCTATTTTTTTTTTTTTTACATGGACTGTAGTTCAGGGTAACTTTTTATGTGTGATTTCAGTTTCCAATGAGAACCTTTAACGACCAGACTGAGTACATCCAGTACTACTTTGTCATTCAAAAAAGCACATTTGACATATTCTGACTTTCTTCTTATACAGTATATAACTTATATAAAAAATATTTGTATTTGTGTGTACATATTTGACAACGTCTGTATATAAATACAAATATCCATGCCTATGTCAGAGCCCCTTTTGTTTTTCACAAAACAAAATAATCATAAAGGACTGTTCTATTCATGTTACAGTTGTGTGCATGTGTGTGAGAGCGTCATCAAATGTATTATAACAATAGCTGGAATTTTCATTTTGACCAGTAATTTGTGGACATCCACATTTAAGTCTATTTATTATATGATAAAGTTGATTGACATATAGTGACGTGAAAAAAACGCTTCCCCATAATAGATCAATATGAAGGGCTTCGTCCTCAAACTCAACTTTAACCTACATTCTTCTTTTTATGCTACGGTAAAAAAAAAAAAAAAAACCTGGTAAATAAGACTATTGAACTTGTAGCAAGATAATCACAGAACATGATTAATCTAGAGTATTCACTGTCTTCAAGCCTGTGTAGTAGAAGAGCATAATAAAGCGGGACAAAGCAGAAGTGATTTTGCAAATAAAAAGGACAAAGATTTGATTAAACAAACTAAATTAAACAACCTCATGATGCGTTTAGTTGCAGTTTTTGCTGGACTGAAGGAACAACCTCCCAAAATGAGACCTGGAACCCATTCGGTAGCGACACAGAGCTCAAAGTCCAAAACAAAAATGTCAAATGGACAAACAAACTATTGCCAGACAATATAAACAAGGTTTTTTTATTCTGTTTCAAAGTTTTCCAGCTACTGATAAGACAACTTGGTGCAGCTAAACTGTCAACTTGCTCCTTTTTCATCATGTCAAACAAACAAAAAAAACAAGCTAAAAAATAAAATCCAACATTAAAAACAAACATTTAAATAAAACACTACGAAAAAAGGACAATTAATCTCAAGGCATTTTTTTTAATGAGAGACACAAAAGAAGAAACATTTGTCTTTAAACCCTGTGACAGTTGGGAACAAATTAAAGTAACATTCAGAAACAATCCCTCGTTGGTTTCTATTTATGTGCCACAATCTTCCCTGTAACAGCTGCAACAAAAAGGCCATTAACATCCCAGTTTAAAAGGCAGAATGGGAAATGAACCGGTACATCAAATGAATGCTGGCTCGTGTTTTAGCTTAGTCATAAACGAGAGAGGAGTAAACCTGTCGACGGTTCCTTTAACTTCAGTTCATGAACAAAAAGGAAACGCAAAATTAATTTCAAGTTTATTGAGAAATTATGGACGGAAAAAAATCCTTAAACCATCTATTCAGTCATGTATTTTGAAAAAGAAAACCTTCGTACTTCTATTCAAATTCCCATTCACTCCGTCAAACCTTCACATGTTTGCTACAGGGCAGAGGAGCTCAAAGCGGTGGCCACGGAGCCTTTCTTGTCGGTGAAGAAGCTCTTCAGCAGCATGACTTGACCGATGCCGATGGTAAACAACAGGGCGGTCTCCCCGATGGACCAGTACGTCACCCTCTGAAGGAGGTGCTCCGCCTTGGTGCGGTCCTGCGCCTCCCTGAGTCTGTACCACGTCTGCGACTCGGCCACCACCTTCAGGATCTCATGAATGGCGACGCAGGACGACTCCAGCTGAAGCCAGAGAGATAAACAAGAAAACAAAAGCGGGTTTACTACCAACTCTAGGGCATAAAAATAAACTGTTCTGCAAACACCGATCATCCTGCTCTGATGCAAAGTTCTGGTGGGAAACGCAATATGGGTCCTTTTGTATTATTTAAAGAGAGGCATCCAAAAAAAAAAGGGTTTGGATTACACCGAAGATTGCAGTTCCAGTTTTATTTACAGAACCATTTGTTGCAGACAGTAGTTTTTCAGTCATAAAGGACATTTGCATGGACAAATAATAAAATCAGGCTGGGTTTGATTAAATGTTCAGTTTACACCACCCCATTCTGCAGCTGCATGAAGTACTGCATGATGTCCAGGTGTAAGATACAGCGGGACATGTCCAAATGTCCCCTGGTCATGAGATGAAGGGTCAGACAGCAGCTAGTTTGATTGTTGTTGTTGATGTGGGGATATTATATTATTATTATTATTATTATTATTGTTATTATTATCATCATCTCATTTATCATTATCAGGTCTCTCTTGTAAATGAGTCCTCGAGGCTCAATGGGATTTACCTGTCTAAATAAAGGTTGAATTAATTATTATTATTATAGTACAGTAAGGTCTCCAGCACTAAAGACCTATGGTTTTGGTCCAATTGGTAGTCTAATGAATAGTATTTCATGCTGTCATGAAAGGCAGACAATCATGTAATTATTTGTCTGTACGACCATCTGTTAACAAAATATCCCATAAACCAGAGGGCAGATTTTCACGATACTCTCTGAAATTAATCAATAAAAGTACATCCACAAGTGATTAACTTTCAAAGTCAACTAAATCCAAGATGGATTCCACAGCTAACTGCTCTTAGCAAACATAAGAATGACAGTAACTGTTATTTTGACACGTACTGAGCTCAAGTTTGGTGTGTTAGTACCTGCAGCACATGCTTCAAGCGCCCACAGATCAAGCAAGATCTAGCGGGCGAGGCAGCCTTCAAGGAAAGCTACTTTCATTTATTCTAGCCATTCTGTTAAATCAAGAGTTTAGACAAACTAAAAGCCATGTAAGACTAAAAGTGAGCAGACGGTATGTCATGCATTTTGTAGCATGCTAAAATATTACCACAAATAAACTCTAAATGATAGTTTCTTAAGAGATAAGTTAAAAGTAACTTTGTCTCCACCCAGTGGACTTCACTCAAACTGTTCTACTGATACTGGTTGATCCACTATAGGAGTGTACTGTTTAGTGGGGAAACAGTTTGTGACTCCTCAGATTGATGAAGCCCTTCGGATGAAGGGTGGAACACCTCTCAGCAACAAAATAAATAAAAAGAAACTGTCCAGATGACCTGACTGAACATTGTTGGAGTCTTTACCTGGATTATTGAGCATGAACCTTGATGTCTACTGAGACTGTCCCACTCAGCAGCTCATAAACCAATAATAAATATTGCTGTGGTAACTCCTTAAATTGGGTAATACTTAAAACAAGTCACTTGTTTCTTTAGGCTCAGTCCTTTCGATGACAACATGACAATGTTTCCTCTGCAGGCCGTGTTACGTACCTGAGTCAGAGCTGTGCTCCTGCTCATGCTGTCCAGAAGAGGAGCCTCCTCTCCATGGCGGAAGTACAAGTACACAATTTTGTGTGTGAAGGTGGAGAACTCGTTGCTGAAGCAGACTCTGTAGACCCCTTTCTTAGTTGTGGTGTGAGCGAAGCTGTCATACTGCTTCTTCTTTTCATTGTACAGGACATTGTTATGGGGATCAGTGACGAGGCAGTCCACATCGTAGTTACCTCCTGAGATGACCTGGGGGAGAAAACAGTTGTTGACAACAAACAATACATTGCAGCTTAACACAACCTGAAAATGACATATTTGTAATATTTACACACATGGACTTCACATATACTGATGAATTGTCAACAATTTAAAGAAACAAATAGTGATATTTCTTGACTTTCAAGAGAAAGAGCTAAACAACAGTGAAACGTTGAAATGTAACAAGTTTGGCAGCATCTTAGCTCACCTGGAAGTCCATGTCAAACTTCACATCTGCGTCCATGTCCTCGTAGAAACATTGTTTATGCTGGTCAGGAAGCTCAAATGTTAGCTCTGTTGCTAACACCACAAACACACGCAGCAGCAAGCAGCTCAGCCCCAGGTAGAGCATGATGAAAACACTTTAACAGCGCAGAAAGCTGCAGAGAAACCTGCTGGTTTTCTGTTGTTGTTCTCAGGATGGAAGATGAGACTCTTAGCCCTGACGTGGCGCGAGCGCAGAGGACTTCCGGTTTGTTCGTTTATTCACTTAACTGTTTTAGTAGAAATTTTTAATTTTTATAACTAAATTTTAACAAAGTCCTCTTTATGGAGGCAAACCAATGCTACAAACAAATAAATAAATAAATAAATGGAGTTAAAAAAGGACAAAATTCCGACAGATGTGGAAGCCGTTTGAGCATCGCAAGTTTCAAAATAAGGTCACAATGTTTAATCCTTAAGAAGTTTGTCTACGGGAAACACGAGTTTTAGGTAAAAATATAAAGTAAATGCCATAAAAAATAGACAATAAATTGTATTTAATGATCTTATATAGTGAAAAAACGAACTTAGAGGCTAACAAAACATTATGAAACACTTAAATCTACTTGGTTTCTATGGCAATGCAAGTAACTGAAATCGAAGTCTTATTCTGAAACACCCAGACCCGACGACTCCACTTCCGGCTCTATCTTCACCTTGACACAAAGTAACATATCCAAGTGCAAACGGGGGGGGAAATGTCATTTCAGGTCGTTTCCTTTTAATTTACCTAATATTTTTTAACAAACGAGAAGGCGTCCGAGTAAAAGGGCAGATATTTTGAAGCTGAAGTTTACGGGAATATTTAATTGCATTTATTTGAGAGTTGGCTAATAGCTTGAATATGCAAAACTACGCACAGGCTGTTAAGGACTTTGTAGAGAACCATGCGACTGGGCTCACAGTAGCCTTTGTGACAGGTAAGTTGATTTGATGATTACACTGTGTTACATAAACTGTGTTTTGTTACATTTTGCATGTTATGAAATCAGTAACTGGCTGCTACTGAAAACATAGTTCTAAGCTATTCTGTTTTTTATTCTTAACTCAAATATTACAGGTTAAAACCTGTATTGCAGGTAATTAAGCTCAGTCTGTTCAGACATGCTGCTAATAATGATTAATATCTAATTGTTCAGTACACTTAAATAAACATGAATACAGAAAACGTTTTAGTATTTTATAAACATAAACACTCTGCTCACCAATATGGAGTTCAGTCCATTAACTATAAACTCTTGAGCAAGGCTCTCTGTCAGTTTGTGTTGTACTGGGAGGTTTTTTCCCCCTCAGTATGAATAAGCACTTAAATGAAAATGACATCAGATTCATAGAAACTCAGGGATTTTAAAAGACAGCAATAACAAACTGTTTTGCTCTATTTGATGCCACTGTTTGTTTTTTGTCAACAGTGTTAATGTAGAGCCACATTACTACATTAACGTGTTGCTGTTTTAGGGGTAGGCGTGTTGGCCTTCCGAAGATGGATGGCAGGCAGCGTGTGTCGGAGCAAGGTCAGGCTGGATGGCAAAACAGTCCTGATCACAGGAGCTAACACTGGCATTGGGAAGGAGACCGCTATGGACATGGCTCAGAGAGGTGAGAGTGAAGAAAGACTACTTCTGTTGATTTTAACCATTAGAACAATTACATTTGATTGCTACATGTGCATTAAAGTGAGCAATAAAGCTAAACTTAAATGAAAATAATTATTTACAGTAATATTGCTTACTTCAATGTATCTCAGATTTTAAATATAGTGGTATTAAGTATTAAATATTGTCTCTGGTGTCAGCATTTTGCTATAAAGAACACACACTATTTATTTGTTTATTTATTTGCTTGTGTCAAGGGGCCAGAGTAATCTTGGCCTGCAGAGATATGACCAAAGCCCGAATCGCAGCAGATGAGATTCGTCAAAAGAGTGGGAATGGCAACGTGACGGTGAAGAAACTGGACCTCGCCTCCCTGCAGTCTGTCAGAGACTTTGCTAAAGATGTCCAGGAGAACGAGGACCGCTTGGACGTCCTGATCAACAATGCAGGTCTGCAGTTTTCTCCTCCTTCATTCTGCAGTAGTGATGTGTTTTCTCGTTGGTTGGACATTTTGGAAAGCAGAATAAATAACATAAATTTGAGGTAAACTTTATCAAATTAACTGGTTAGTTTCTAACTTTCTTTTTACTTTTTATCTTGTTATTGTTTTATTATTATTAGGCATTATGATGTGTCCGAAGTGGAAAACCGAGGATGGTTTTGAAATGCAGTTTGGTGTGAACCACTTGGGACATTTTCTCCTCACCAACTGTCTCCTTGATTTGCTGAAGAAGTCTGCTCCAAGTCGCATTGTCATTGTCTCAAGCCTTGCACACGAGAGAGGTAAAATGTTATATTATCTCTTTTTTTCATACATAATGATTATTCCAACTGCATATAGCAGTCATTCATGAAGTATTTTATCAGTAACTTATTCATATATTAATGAAGTATAATATGTTTTGTTATGAAACCATCCCTTGCAGGTCGAATACATTTTGATGACATTAACCTTGATAAAGAATACAAACCAGAAAAGAGCTACTACCAAAGCAAGCTGGCAAATGTTCTCTTTGCCAGAGAACTGGCTGCAAGACTGCAAGGTATTCTCCACTGTACAATCATTTTTGTTTTTAATGTAGCATTGTTGAAAGCACATGCATTATATAATGCTTGTTGTGTTTCATTTTAGTTCCCTGTGATTCTCAGTGTATTTTTCTCAGTGTGGTGTTTCATACATGATGGCTAACATTTGATCTGTTGGACCTCTCTCATTAGGCACCAATGTGACCGTATACAGTCTTCACCCTGGGGTCATCCGCACAGAGTTAGGCCGCCATTCGCTTCAAACCATGGCTCTGTGGAAGAGGATTTTGTTCTCAGTCCTTATCTTTTTAATTAAAAATCCCTGGGAAGGAGCCCAAACTACCATCTACTGCGCTGTGGACGAAAGTGCTGCAAACCAGAGCGGCCTCTACTACAGGCAAGTACATCTGACCGCAAACAGGAAGTGTATGAACTAAAATTTTAAAATGTTATTTTTATCAGAATGAAATAAAAAAAATTAAGGTAAATTCAGTTGATTGTCACAACTGTTACATTTTTATCTGCCTAGCAGATGATTCTAGTAATTTATTGCAAGGTGTAATAGTGGGCATCACCAAAAAATTAGCTTCGCTTGCGCTCAACCGCTAAACACGTACAAAAATATTTCAGAAGCTGAACTCTCACCGCTCAGACGACTGTCAGTCTGCGTCATGCATCTTCGTCTCTTTCTAGCTGAAGCTGCGTCGACCAATCACGTCTTGTCACATGTGCATGTCGTGTGCCTAACGGATGCTTCTAGACGCACCCACAACACACAGGAACAAGCTCGTGAATTTTGTTAGAGGACTTAAAGTTGGCTAACTCTTAATTAGCAGAAGCTAATTCCACTGATTTCCAAAATTGGCAAAAATGCTAATCCAAATGCGAATTGCGCCGCTCAAGGCATGTTGGAGTATGTGCTACATTCATTCTGGGATACTGCTTTTGAAAACTTTATTTCCTCTTTTTCTGGATGTAAATGGCTTTTTTTTTTTTGGAAGATTTCTTCCTCTAGTTTTGGATGTTATGCATCTGGAAGGATTTTTACTGAAACCTTTTTACATTTGGACATTTGCTATGAAGTGTAACCATGGCAACAAGGTGTGTTTTTTTACAACTGGGAGCAACTTATTAACATCTCAAAGCTCAAATATTACCTGAAATACAGCCCAAAATCCCAAATGAGTTGCTCGAGTGGCTGACTGCTGAGATCCTGGAGTTGGCAGGACACATGGCTCATGCCAACAAGAAGACCAGGATCATCCCCTGACACCTGCAGCTGGCTCTCTGCAATGATGAGGAGCTCAACAAGCTGCTGAGAGGGGTGGCCGTCGCTCAGGGAGGAGTTCTGCCCAACATTAAGGTGGTCCTGCCGCCCAGGAGGACCAAGAGGTCTGCCAGGTCCAGGTGAATGGATCGGCATCTGTAGCCAGATTCTTCAGATCCACTGTGGGACTATTGTGGGAGATCCTTCCTGCCTACAGCCATCAACTCTTAATGAAACCAGAATGAGCTACAACAGCATTTAATTTCCCTTTGCGATTAATAAAGTATTTTGTATTGAATTGAATTGAATAATCCACTAAACAAAAAATTAGCTTGGCTGTTAGCGGTTAGCAGATTAGCAGAACTGTGCCCACCACTGGCTAGGTGTATGGTTTATTTCACACTCTTTTGACTATATACCACACATTGTTGCTGACATTTAATTTTTTTGTATTTTTTCTCTTCTTCTTATTTCTCCGTTCAGTGATTGTGCCCTGAAGACACCGGCACCTCATGCTCTGGATGATGCTGCAGCCAAGAAGCTGTGGAACCTCAGTGCCTCCATGGTTGGACTGGCTTAAACACGGGAGCCTAGGATGCTCCTACAGTGGCTACCATTCCTGCTGTAGAGTTAGTATTTTTGTTTATTTGAATGAATAATGCACTGAAATCCTTCATTATAGTCCAACAGGTTGAAGGGTTTTACTTTACATTACCCAAGATTTATCATTAGGTCATTTATTCAAGAGCTAAAATATTTTTGCGCTATTTAGTCTTTCTCCATCTATATAACACGTATCACAGCTTTGTCTTTTGCTATTATGCACACTTTGTGATTTATTCGACAATTATGTCTGCTGGATGTGCCTGTTCATACATCTTGTAGGCTGAATACATTGTTCCCATTAAGACACAAGACGCGTAAAGGCTTTAAAATGCTGCATTTATTCATAGTAGTTAACATTTGCAATTGATTCACTGAAGTTAATACTTGTTTAAGCAATTTGTATCAATGTGTCACTAAAGTGATGAAATCATTTGAAGCAAATCAAAACGTTTTATATAAAGGAAGTGCCCTTTGACCCGCACTGATTGTGGTGTTTGATTTTAATTTTTAATGTGTCAAGTGGAGTAGGATCCTCTTTGAGGAGTAGAGAGGGAAAGTGTGTGGGTATATATATATGTGTGTGTGTGTGTGTGTGTGATGCCTTCAAGGCTCAGAGCTGTTATGGGAAGCACAAAAAAGAAGACTGTCAGCTCACTGAGCTGCACCCTTGTGTAAGAGTGTTTTAGATCCAGGATGATCTTTGAATGTCTTGTTACTCTTTTTTATTTTTTTGAAGAGGACCAGTTGGTGAATGTGTTCAGTGAATGATAACTTATAATGGACTAAGTGTGCAACAAGAAGTTTGACATTCTTATCAATAAAAATGTGATTAAAAGTAGCTTTTTTTTTTGTCTTTCTGTCAGTTTTGACTGATGTGTGAAAATAAGAACAGTTTCAAAGTTAGGGTTTTTACAAAGTTATATACATTTAAAGAGGATTTCATATAAAGGTGAAATAAATGAAAGTTGTATTTTTTTTTGCAGCATTTTAAGTTGCAGCAGGATGTTGGTTCGAGCTCCTAATGTGTAGCTCACTTATTAAAAAACACAACAGATTTCCTAAAGTTATAAAAATCATAAAGAGCTCAGGTGCTTGGGAAGATTTCTGATCATAAAACCAAAACACAGAAAACATACCCAGTAAATTTATTTTCTCATATCAGAAAGAAGTCTTTGCACATTTCAATGTTACCAACTTGTTTTTTTCCTAATATTTTACATGTGTAGATACTATTTATAGTCTTTGTTTAGCTATAATCTACACACATAGCTGTGTTACAGTTGAAACGTCAACTCTTTGGCCTAGAAGTGATGTTAATATGACAGTTCAGCACATTGAACTCACTCAACCTATTAATCACTTCACATACCGGTTATTCCATCCACAGCGTACAGTTAATTACATTTTTCTTGCTGCATCATGTCAGGTTGTTTCAGAAAGTACAATTTTTGAATTTTCCAGTTTAGTTGGAGCACTAGAATAGCTCTAAATTATAGTAAAATTGTTGATTAAAGAACATAAAGTGTTTGAGTTTAACACATTAAAAAGCATCATTAAACGTGTAAAAAAAAAAAAAAACATCAATAAACAGCTTTGGTCAACTTGTTCAACTGCAAAATACACACTCCACATAACCACCAACAAACCCAGTAAGCGTTAAAATGTGTCCACAAGCGTCCCTGATCCAGGTGTTGGCTCTTCAGGACCTGTCGGTAATGTCATACACATGCCCTTATCAGTTCTCCGTCCAACGGATTCAGAATCTATAGCTGGGCTGGAAAAGTGATAAGGAGATGTGAGAGACCACAGAACCACGACTGCATCCGTTTACACGGCACCAAACCAAACCGTGACAAAGCTCATTAGTTCATGAACCAACATGGCATGAGAGAATCTGCAGAATTTTTTTCTAGATCCCAACCAGGGCTTTCATAAAGCTGTCATCTCTTTCCTCCCACTTCCAGCATTGAAATAAAGAAGTTCCTGCAGTTCAGGGGAGATTTGTTCCTGAATGTCCCACCTTTCAGCCAGAGAAGACGTAAACCATCTTTGCCCGCTTCTCAGGTCCACAAGCGTTAAAGAGACTAGCCACGCTCGTAACAACCAGGCCCAGTTGGTTCCAGCAGCAGCCCTGTACTGGTTGACAAAATTTTAAGACACACCCCATTGATGAGTTTTATTCCACCGGAGCCCCGCCTGGCTCAGGGAGATCTCTCCTCTGCCATTGGTCTGTGCTCAGAACTCGCCATACCTGCCCCCTGGCTTTTGAGGACGTGAGCCAAAGAGTTTGTGTAGTTGTCAGTCACGTGGGAGATCAGTCGGTGGGATCCGAGAGCCCAGGTTTGGAGGGGTGTGCTCCCCACAGGTGTGGCTGTGAAGTACATTCCAATATGTACATACCTGTCAGCTTCTCTGGTATTTATCTGCTCCTAGAAAGTAAGACCACTGACCATTTACTCTCTTTCATCCTCTTGGGGCCCAAACTGGGGGAGAAGGAAATAACTGTTGTTTCACGTGCGCACATATATGAGTAACTTTATCCCCGCACTGTTTGTCTTTTCTGGTTTCCTTTAAAGCGTGCTGCTTCCTTCTCATGCCACTGGCGTCCGTTCAACAACAGTATTATGTACGAAACAAGGCAAATACTTGTGAAACCTGTGACACTTCTGCTTAACGCAAAAGACAAAGTTCACTTTGTGCCTAAAGGTAAAGTATGAACCACAAACTGCAGGAACTGTGACTGACTTTTCACCAGTGCTGCAACGTGAGAGAGGGAGCTTAGTGATTTCTAGGAACAAGAGCAGAATTTCAACATACACCCTGACAATATGGCATCGGTTAGTACAGGTGCAGGCAGTGGCATGTACTTCTCCCCCCTCAGTAAAGAACTTGAGATCATCTGCGCTTGTTTTCTCCCTCTGGAGATCATAAAGCCTCTCAGAAAATTCTTCTTGTCTGCCCGTTTGGTATGCAGGTGTCTCTCTGATCCAGTCATATTCCTCATGCCTTTCTTCTTCTTGCCGTTCACCTCTCTGTCTCTCATTTTTACCAGAGTACAGACGCGAACATCGTATGCCTCAGGCAGGTGTGAAAATGCAGATTAGCTGCTTTTTGGAGGCCTACAACGGCACGGAGAACATGGGCTCATGCCGTGACTACCTATGAACGAGTCTGTGCCTGTGTCGAGCTGAGTCAGAGCCGCCACAGTGACTAAGGTGCTCTCCGTTGCCAGTCATTCACACACAGTGCAGCTGCAGCCTTCATTAGTCACTTCAACCATTAGGCGTGCTGCCTGTGAATAAAAGGACACAAAGATATGTAAAATAATTGCAGAATGAAAATCTCATTTAAGGCTAGAACCTTACTGATGACTGTCAATGTTATCGCCAACGATAGTGTTCTGACCAGCCTGGTCATGTATGAGGAACATCTGAGGGCCCTGAAGCAATGAATTCATGAGGTCTAATAGATCGAGCTTTCTTCCTGAAGCTGTCATCAGATTGGTTTGGAGACCAAGTGAACTCCTCTAACTCTTTAATGTGTGAATGTGAGTGTGTGGTTTTGTTTCAGGTTACATTGTGGAGACCAATTTTGAAAAAAACGACATTGTGGGGATCATCTGTTCCTTATGGGACCCAAAGCCCGGGCTCCATAAGGATAAGTCTCGTTGCTGGGTTAGGGTTAAGTTTAGGGTAAAGGTCAGGGTTAGGCTATAGAAATGAATGAAAAATGAGTGGAAGACGATGCAAAGTCCCTGTAAAGATGAAAAGACAAACGTGTAACATTGCACCAAACCACATCTGTGACAATATGACAAATATTAGCTTGTGACAGCTAATAATGTTTATTGCTAATGCACTATGTGAGCTGTATCATGTTACAGTATCTATCTGCCTTACCATCGTAATTCAATCTCAATGTTACTACTTGTGCAATAACCTGTCACACAACCTGTGTAGTATATGTTAATTATGTGATGTATATA